CCCCAAGACTTAAAGGAAAATGAAGTGACAATTTCAAAAGAAAAAAAAAGCTACTATACATCCATTACACCATCATAGAACTCATCGCATTTTGCCGTGAAGAAGTTGTGGAGCAGTTGACGGATCTGTGGATTTGAACTTGATCTCAAATGATTTAACTGTCCTTAAAATGGAACATGAGTCTTGATTTAACTTAGCCAAAAACATACAAAGGAGCATATTGCAACAAAGTCCTTCAAATCGATGATTGATCAAAGTTTGGAAATGGTAGGAGGTATTTGAGAAATGATACTGGGAGTAGACTTGGTATGAAGGAGGAGTAGAAAAGCAATGATGAAGAACTTAGATCAAATCACTGTAAGTGAATTCACCATAAGACAAATCACTGCAAGAGAATATTATTCACTTGAATAAAGACACTAAACAAAAAGAAAAAATAAAGAGTATGAGAGGAGGGCATAATGAAACAAAGACACTCTACCTCCTTCTCCTCCACTAGTGGTTAGGGTTTTTCTTTTTCGCCATAGAGATTTTCTTTTTTGCCTCTGACAAGAAGAATTTTGAATTAAAAAAAAAACTGAATGCAAGTGCAAGGGAACCAGCTAAACTAACTCAATTACTAGAAACTATGATGTATAATCTCATACAAAGCATAATAGTTTTACTAGGTGTAAAGTTCACCATTTAAAGTTTAGAGTTCCAAACTTAATCATTGTAAGTACGTTATACTTTCGGTAAACTAATAACACTATGGACAACTTCTCATCAGAAGTTATGAGTGGGATTTTAAGTCCGACCTAACCAAACAAATTGAATCAAAATTTCTGCTTCTGTTTTTCTAAAAACAACCTTTCTAGGGACAAGATTAGAACACTAATAAAGTCTAGGTTTGGTGACTTATTTTTCTGCGAGCCCAAACCAACATGCATGTGGTGGTGGCGGCATGTACAAAGCAACAAGTAGGGCACACGTGCATGAATGCCCATGTGACACTTTTATTCGTATGCTTTTATTATATAATTATCAGAGAGACGTGCCGAAGCTCCATTTCCAACAACATCGATATTGTTCTCAACTTATTAATTACTACCTACATAATTTGTCAGATGTGGAGTTTTATCACAAAATGCCTTAGTTTTAGTTGGAGTAAAGTTAGGATATTTAAACTATTATTTCTCTCTTTATATAGCCAATGTGGGACTCAAAACACCCCCTCACGTGGGACCCAATTAGTGGTCACACGTGGGAAGTTCACACATCGCCAACCACATAGAGTCAAAGGGACTCACCTTATACACAGGGTCATGAGACCCACCATCATCATGCAGGCCTAGGATACCCACCCATCACGTGGCAGTACGGGCCCGCTTCCTGACTCTGATACCATGTAGAATTATTAGAGGGACATGCCTTCCAACAACACCGATATTATCCCCAACTTGATAATTACATATAACAATGGGAAATCGCCCCAAGAAAGAACCATTCCTCTAACTATTACAAAATATATATATACAGGGAGCTTAAGGGGAGGGATCCCCATTTTTTCAAAAAAAATGGGGACACGCTCCCCACCGTTAGATTGACTTTAATGAAATTGTGTGGTTGAGATTAAAACACAGGCCATAGAATCTCAACCACATGATTTCATTTAAGTCAAATCCAACGGTGGGGAGCGTGTCCCCATTTTTTTGAAAAAATGGGGATCCCTCCCCTTAAGCAATTCCTATATATATATTCTATGATCTGTTTGCATCTTTGAAAAAGAAAACACAAATCAATTTTACCTAAATTAGGAACAATTTCTCAAGGAATCATGTGTTAGCTAGTTTGGACCCACATATAGGGTGGGCCCTCAATTTAACTACTTCTCCAAGTCATGGATAGAGACCCTTCATCCCCTAAAATGTGTACAATTAAATTAATATAGAAGTTTCTTGTCCTACCCAAGAGGGTCTCTATGTGTCACCCACATTTTGGTAATATATCATATATATACAAGTTAGGAATATAGGCTTTTCTACATAACCTTTGTTTTATAAAATCTAATTTATAGACTGAACTTTGGAAAATTGAATAATTTGGCACATGTAGAGAGAATGTGTTGCCTTAATTAGATTCTTTGTGGATGAAATGATTGGTACCAACTGAACGTATTATATCAACACCACTAAGCATTAGCAAAATCACAAAAAGTCACTAAATCACTCTTTACTACTCAAAATATGTAACCAAAAGCAAACATAATGATACTTCAGTAACCTAATATATATGTATAAATGCATAACTGCAAAGTGTAGATATGATGAATGTCTGTAGAGATTGGCCTTCTCTTCTTAGTTTTGACAGAGTTCTTGCTCTTAATAGGACAAGCATGTATAGAATTACTTAATTCGAGAAGAGAGACTAAAACATGTATAGAGATCAAATGCTTCGAGGCTTATAGACATCAAATATCTTAAGGTTCAAAATAATGTCAGAGATGGTGTACTATTAACATTGAACCATTGACGCTTTCGATATGGTGGTTGATCCATTGATAAAAGCCTTGCATGCCACAACCTTTAAAAGTCATGTTCCAAGAATGGTACTACTACCTTCATTTGATCTGCTTTGAATGTGGGAGCAAGATATTTTCGTTTTACTTGATTCAAGTTTATGTTATGAATACTGAGCTGTTGTTTTGATTCAATTTCCAATGATTCTCTTGTAAACAAAACAAGTGAAGTTTCTGATGAGTTGTTTCACTAATCATGTTAATTTTTGCAAAGTAATATATGAAGTATGTTGTTTCACTAAAGCATCTAAATCCAAAAATAAAAAACAGAATATGAAACAGACATTGCATTGCAGTGTCTAAATCCAAATGTAAAACTCAGGAATCACGTGAGGTGCGAAGGGTAGAAGGCATGTGAGTGGTGAAAAAAAATAGAACTAGAAAGCGGACACTTCAACGCAACGTCTTAATCCAAAAGTATAAAACAAAATCAGGAAACAGACACTGCATTGCACACTGAATCCAAATGTAAAAACATGCATGTAGGAGGCGAATGAGTGATGGAAAAAACGAAACCAAAAAATGGACACTTCAATGCAGCATTTGAATCCAAATGTAAAAAAAAAATCAGGAAATAGACACTCCAATGCAATGTCTGATCTGTATTGACCTATTGCAAAGTATAAAAACTATGAGAAAGAGTGTGTCAATTGAAGTGGGTGCCAGCTGCAATGGTAGATTCTGTAATTATTGCTTATTTTAAATACATTTTAGTATTACAATACATGATTGACCTATTTATAATTAACATAAATATTATTGATAAATTGTTAATATTGTAACTTTTTATTGATATTTTGGAGATAAAATGGGTGGGCAAAGAGTTTGACTTTTTTTTAAGTTTTTTTTCAAGGGTGAAATAATAAGGTGGGTGCGAAGATAAGAAAAGTTGGTGGTTCTAGTGGTTCCCTTCATTAAATTAATTATACATTTTTTTTAAAACACCAACGTGCAATGGATGTGCGTATGTACTTTTCATGTTATAAACACGTTAATTATATAACCAACCTTTTAACATTACACATAAAATTCACGTATTCTAGACGTATTCCTAACATATTTTTGAAGAAACATAAATAGTAATTAATTTAAATAAAAAATGGGTAAATTTTTCAAAGTATTTTTTTAGCAAAGTTGCTGAATGATACACTGCATATTTTTCACATACTATACTAGTTTTGTACACGTACTATAAGTGTTCGTATTTTTCATATAGTATGTTGTGTTTTGAAAGTAATATTTATGTGGCATGTATATGTAAACTTGTAGTGCTTAATGAAATTGTAAACCAATTGTTGAATCAAAGGAGGTTACGATTTCAGATGCTAATATTTAGTAATTTCATATGAAATTTTTATTTGATTATTTATTAAAGTATATATTGTTCTTAATGGGTACAAACATGTCGGGTCAGATAATCTGTGAATTTTAACTGGTAGGATTAAGGTTTGAATTCTTAAACCTGTTAAAATAATTCAGGTGGTATGACGTGACACGTTAGAATAATGAGTTTGACACGAAAACGACTTGTTTACCAAAGTCTAAGTTTGATTAACGTTGTCAAATTTTTAATTTAACAACATGGTTCTTTTATTTATTGAATAACTAATAGATGACTAAACAATTTCGAGTTTGTTGTTGACTTTTAGCAGAGTTGATCTTTAAAGGGTAATCTAGAAAATACATGATTAGTACCATCAAGCATCATCACATGATAAGAAGAAGAGTCAAGAATGTAGAATGAGAATGTTTGCTAGCATTTTAGATAATCAAATTTCTACATAATTCTTTTACCTTTAGAAAAAGAATTAATGTGAGATGGACATAAGATAACGGCACTTATGTAAGAGTGAGGTGTAATTAGCTAAAGCTAAGAATTAAAAGGAATGGTAGCTACCTTTTTGTTTGCACTTTCTTTTTATTTTAAGATTCTAGAGTATTATTTGATGATCTGAATCATTTATTTTCTAAGTTACTTTTTAAAGATTATTTTTATATTAAAAAAATAGCAAAATCAAATCTATTTAGATTAACGGTGTTCTTCAATTAAACAATGAAATCATGACAACTTTCACTAAACGGATAAATATATTTTATTTGGTCGATTTTTGCAGAGTTCACTTTATAGAGTGGTCTACAAGATATAACTAGTCTTGCTTAAAATGTTGATGGTGGGGCATATCCGTTGTGGAAAGACAATGAGATAACATTTTGGAAAATATATAGAAGAAACTATTACAGTTTATCAAAGTCCTTCATAAGTAGGCATCGACCATACACAAACAATTATTTCTCCTGGTGAATACATATAACAACAAAATGACCAAAGAACTAGTTGTCTTGGGTGACTAAATACGTGACTCATTCAACACAATGAGTGGAAAGGTAAGTCCACCCCTAAAAATATTTGGCATCTAATCTTACACCACAAAGGTCCAACACTCTCTCTCTCTGGCAGTTGCTGCAGCCAAATTTTGCTCCTACTCCCTTAAGGTCCCCACGTCAAGAATTTTATGCTATTAGTTTCTTAATCCCAGTGTTCTCCTTGTTCTCTACTATATATGCCTGCTCTCCTCTCGATTTCCTTTCTTCAGCTTCCCAACAGTTTACTACCAACACCATACCTATATTTCCTTGTTCTATTTTTTTCATCTTTATTTCAAAGCACTAGTACACAGATGGAAGTTCGCTCCATGAACTCCATGATTGGAAGAGGTAATTCTTCTAATACAAGAACCACTACTCAAGAATCCCCTCAGGAGAGTAGTTGGACTATGTACTTGCAAGATTCTTGATAAGCAGTAATCATGAGGATGATGACGATGACCGCAGTTCTTTCTCCTTGTACGATTATGAAAAATGTTCCATAATCTCTGGCGCTGCTTCCTCAGTCGCCAGAAAGTCGAGTACTATTAAAGGAGAAGTTTTAGGGTTTGGCGTGGATGGAGGTTATAATAGATCTAGCTTCATGATTAAGAGAAAACCCAAAGAAGCTGTGCTTGAGGATGCTTTGGAAGACACAGCTAGTTCTCCAGTAAATACTCCCAAGGTGACTATCCTGACTCCTAATTGTTTCTGTTGGTCCAATTTTTTTTTTTTTCAATTAATCATGTTGTTTACAAGTGAAATGTTTAACTTATGCTTCCCAATATACTTGTTATTTTTGTTCGGATTTGTTTAAGATTTAATTAATTTCCATTTTGTATTTCAATTAGGTTTGCAATCACAGCGAGTCAAATGTGGAATCAACACTGCAAAAAGATGACAAAGACATATCTAATGCGGTAAAAAAAAAAAAAAAAAAAAAAAAAAAATTACCGCACTATTTTTTCATCGGTTTATTATTTATTATATCGTCACCGTACTTCTTTTATTAAATTGGTTGTTTATTTTTGCAAATAATTAATTATTAAATTGATAGTGCTTTGAAATTTTTCTGTTACAGGAGAAAGGAAGTACTTCTGGCAGGATGGATGAGAGAACTGAATCGGGCTTTATCGGGAGAGAGTGACTGCACAGAACTGAAGACAAGAGGACGTTGCTTAGTTCCATTCTCTATGATAGCAAACTATTTTGGATGAATTATTGTTATCATCATCCATATACTAGTACTTCAGTTAAAACATACATCTCTCTCTCTCTCTCTCTCTCTCTCTCTCTCATTGCTGTTGAGGAAGCACACTTCATGTATCAATTTCAGCAAGAACAAAACCAAAACCAGTTGTCCAGCAACTGTAGACTATATGTAGTCTTTTCCCGTTAAGTTTATAATATGATCACAATAATATTGGCCGCATATCTAAACTGTAATTCAATTTTACAAGGTCGAAGGATCAACAGTATTCGGGATCCATCTTATATCTTTCATTAATGTTGCCTGCTAATTTTCTCTTACTTATTCACAACTATTAGTTTCAGAAACAAAAAAAAGTCACAACTATTAGCTTGATGTCTTTTTTTCTTCAGAACATGTATGTGTGTTGTATATGCAAATTTTCTCCTGTGTGGTCAACTAGACACCTTCATGCCAAGCACCTAAATTTTTTTTGAGTTATTAGTACATATATTCGCATTATCACTACAAAGTGGTTGAACCTTATAAAAAGTTTTCACCTAAAGCGTTACTTGATCGATCACTCACTCTTATCATCATAATTAGTCTATTTTCCTAGCAGAGATGGTCTTAACCTCAGTGCCATTGCAAAAGTGAATATAAAAGTGAGATCGCTTTCTGTTTGCCATTGTTACCTTACGTGGTATTGGCGGCTCAACGGGTTTTTCCCACTAGATTTACTCCGAGGGAGGTTTAACAAGGCCACCTAACCTTCTTCTGTTTTGTGATTCCTTTCTTCTTTAATGGAGTTGCCAATGTTTTTACATTTGGAAAAGAAAAAAAAAAAACACATATCGGTCGTCACTTTTTCAGGTGTGGTTCTCCCGCCGCTTCACATATTTTGTCAGATTCTCAAAGGTAAATGAGAATGAGATGAAAGTTTTAAAAAAAATAAATAAAATGGTGTGCGCATCCAGGGAATCGACCCCTGGTCAGTACCGTGGGAGGGTATACGCCAGATGCGCTTGATTGTCGTACTCCCATTTTGTAACTTATTTAACTTTTGTTGATAGCATTAAGTGATAGATAAATGTATCAATAACGTGTCGGTATACTGTAGTTATATCAGGTAGCAAACAAATGTACCAATCAGCATTTTTGCCATTTTTGTTTCTTTCCATTTGGTGATTTCTATCCTATGATTCATGAAAACTCATGCCATTTCGAGCATTATCTTAATGAAGGTTTCAAACACACTATAGGGCAACAACAAAATTCTACTATGCTCTGGCATGTGGCATTGGAGCAATGAAGAGCTGAATGTGCTGTCAGGATTCCATTACAAATAATTTAACAAGTCGAAGATCACGATGTATATTTATTGGTGCATACTATAAAAATCCGAGAAACAATTGCTTAAAAAAAAGTACAAAAACTAAAATAAGGAAACGCCTCATCAAAAGAATTATGAATTGGTATTATTCAAATTCCACTGTCAGTTTTGACTATTGTTACAATTATTCAATTTGGTATTTCTGATATATAAGATATTCAGCTAATATTGCAGCAGTTTTTTGGACCTTCAAACGATCAGATTTCAGGTTTATTTTTTCTCTGGAAGCTTCTTTAGCAATTCCGGTATTGCTTCAAATATATCGCATACGAGTCCATAGTCAGCGACCTGTGATGATCAAAGAGTTTGATAACATTACTTATTATGTAAGTGCATCCATGTCGTAACATTCCGAAAAGCCTTGCAACTAAGAAAACTACATGAAAAGCAGGTTGAGGTTTTACTGCAAATTCGTTAAACGTGATACATATAATTTGCTTCACATTTCAAGAACAATTCTCTCCTTTTCTTTTCGGAAGCTGAGGGAAGCAAAAATGGCTTGGACTTTTGGCTCTTTGAGAAATGACAAAATTGTGCAGACTTTAAGAATGAATGCATCTTGTATATATAGTTATACTATTACCCTTGACAACTACGAGAGAGAGTTCAAGCCGTCACCTGAAGGATTGGGGCATCTGCATCTTTGTTCACAGCAACAATGAACTTGGAATCTCTCATGCCTGCTACGTGTTGAATGGCTCCTGAAACACCAAAATCCACGTACAACTCCGGCGCAACTATCTTTCCAATTTGGCCAAATATCACATATTTTTCTATTGCAACTGGTGGTATATGGTTGCCTGCCGGTGAGAAGACCAACTATATTTTCCTTCCCTTAATAAGACATCAATCCTTGTTTCATCAAACAGCAATTTATACAATTTCATTAAGAAATTGAAATGTGTTGAATTTTGGATGTATATTTCATGTGTATCATTTACAAGGTTGAAGCATAGATATAAGAAAGGGACGAAAAGGGAAAGGGAGCAGCTGGAAAGCAAGCTTGAAAGCAACACCCAATCAGTCCTTAAATCACTCCTAAAAAGGGCTACCAACTATTTACAATGATCAAGGAAACACAGTCCCTTAATTCTAGGCTAAAGCAAGCTAGAAACAATATCTTGAATAAAACCCTAGCCTTAGCTAAGAGTTCCATATTGAACAAAAGATATGACTTGATTGATTTACTACAGTTGGACCTCCAAGCCTTAGCTGCTTCCTGCTTCTTCCAATACTCCCCCTCAAGCTGGATCAAAGGGGTTCGTTGAGCCAAGCTTGAACAATAAACGTTGAAATTGAGTAGTAGGGAGGTATTTCGTAAAAATATCAGCCAACTGATCATGGCTGTGTGTGTAATGAATGTTAATAACCTTCGATTGAACTTGTGCTCGAATGTAATGACAATCAACCTTGATATGTTTAGTCCTCTCGTGAAAAACTGGATTGGAAGCAATGTGCATAGCAGCTTGATTGTCACAAAACAAGGACATAGGCTGATTGCATGGAAACCCTAAATATGAGAGAAGACCTTTTAGCCAAATGAGCTCACAAGCAGTGGATGCCATTGCTCGATATTCAGCCTTAGCACTTGATCGATCTATGACGCTTTGTTTTTTGCTTCTCCATGTAACCAAATTTCCACCCACAAATGTGCAAAATCCAGTGGTTGACTTACGATCAAGAGAGTTACCAGCCCAATTAGCGTCTTTGTACCCTATGATGGTAGTGTTACCATTCCTTTTCATCAATATACCTCAACCAAACTGACTGGCAATGCTCACGGCATAAGAAATGTCAGGACGTGTAATTGTGAGGTAAATCAACTTCCCAACTAACTTTTGATAGTCAGTGAGATTGGTGGGAGCCTCACTTTGCATGTCGAGCTGGAGTTTATTGTCAAAGGGAGTCCAAGCAGGCTTATAATCCACCATATCAACATCTTTTAGAAGGTCAAGGAACGTACTTCCTTTGATTTAGAAAGAGTCCTTTTGAGATGTGGCCATTTCAATGCCAAGAAAATACTTGAGAGTTCCCAAATCTTTGAGAGCAAACCGGACTCGGAGGGCATGCTTGAGAGAATTAATTTCCTCAATATTATCACTTGTCACTATGAGGTCATCAACATAAATCAAAACAACCAATTTGCCTACTGAACCAATTCGAACAAAAAGTAAGGAATCATCATTGCTTCTGTGAAAGCCAACTTCTTCAAGTACTGAGCTAAGTTTTGAATACCATGCTCATGGAGATTGCTTTAAACCATAGATAGATTTATGAAGTTTGCACACCATGTCAGGATCATGGAATTGAGAGTGACCTGGGGGCAACTTCATGTACACTTCCTCTTCTAGCTCACCATGCAAAAATGCATTCTTCACATCCATTTGATATAAAGGCCAAGATTGATTAACTGCAACGGATAACAATACTCTCACTGTGTTCATCTTGGCAACTGGAGCAAAAGTCTCTTTATAATCCACTCCATATGTCTGAGTAAAACCATGAGCCACCAAGCGAGCTTTGTGTCTCTTAATAGTTCCATCGGAGTTGAACTTTGTTTTATATACCCAACGAATACCCACTGCCTTTTTTCCTTGAGGAAGCTTAATAACACTCTAGGTTCCATTGTCATGGAGCGCTTGAAGTTCATTTTTCATAGCAGTTTTCCAAATATCATGTTCATTTGCTTCTTGAAAGCTTTGTGGATCATGAGTACCATCTAGGGCATTGAGAAAAATAGCATGAGAGGATGAACATTTTTTGTAAGTGACAAAATCTGCAAGGGGATATCTTGTAGTATAGGTAACATAATCAACAAGCCTAGATGGATGATGGAGATCTCTTGTGGGATTTCTTCGAGTTGAAACTTGTGGTGGAGGTAGTGGCTCGGAGACTTGAGATAAGGACTCTATATGTAAGCTTGGAATGTCATTCCCTGCTTCTTTTTCTTGATAAGAAAGAATGTTAGGTAATGGAAAGAAATCATGCAGAGACTCCCCTTGATTTGTATCAACCAATTTATGTGTAAAGTAGGGAGTTGACTCATCGAATCTAACATCTCTAGACACTACAAGCTTCTTAGTGACTGGATTATAACACTTATAACCTTTTTTGTGTAGATGAATAACCCATGAACACGCACTTATTAGCCCAAGGATCAAGTTTGTCACTATGAGTAGGTTGAGTGTGAACAAAGCATATACACCCAAAGACCTTTAAGTGAGATCGATCAATCTTTCTCTCCTTCAACACTTCATAAGGAGATTTGGAACCTAGCACTTTACTGGGGAGTCAGTTGATGAGGTATGTAGTTGTAATAGTACCCCTTGTGACCAAAACTTCTTAGGTACATGCATATGAATCATGAGAGCTCTTGTCTTCTCAAGAAGGTCTCGATTTTTTCTCTCGGCAACCCCGTTTTGTTGGGGAGTCCCAACACAACTTGTTTGGTGAAGAATGCCATGGTTGCTCAGATATTGTGACATATTATTAGACATATATTCAGTGCCATTATCGGATCTTAATATGTGAATATTGGATGAGAATTGAGTACTAACAAGTTTATGGAAATCTTGAAACACACTTGCAAATTCACTTTTAAACTTTAAAAGGTACAACCAAGTGATCCTTGTAAAATCAGCCACAAAGGTTACAAAATACCTATATCCATCAAAGGACTCGATAACTGGTCCCCAAATATCTGAATGAATGATTTGAAAAGGATTACTAGCCCTAGACAAGGATGAATCAAAGGGTAATCTGACAGATTTCGACAAGTGACAAACATCACATTGAATCTTGTCCTTACACAGGTTTGGAAACAAAAAAGACATCACTTTTTCAGAGGGGTGAGCCAACCGTTGGTGCCAAAGATGTTGGTCTTGTGGTATACTGGA